TGGGTCACCAAGCTCAACAGCGGGCACCGAGGCATCTGGCACGGCACTGGGGCATCAGGCTGGACCACGGGCACCGGGCGTCCGGCTGGATCGGGTCATCAAGCTGGATCGGATCATCAGGCCGGAAAGGATCATCAGGCCGGGGAGGATCATCAGGCTGGGTAGCGTACACTGGGTCATCAGGCATCCGGGCATTAGGCTGAACAGCGGGCACCGGGGCACCAGGCTGGATAACAGGAGGCGGGTTCTCAGACCGCAGGCTGAGCGGTTTGGATACTGGCAGGATGGTGCTGGTTGGAAAGAATTTCCGCTTCTTCCTGGTTTTAGTTACTGGAGCACTGTAAGTAAAGGCAGGTCTGTAAATGGAGGGAGCAGCTTCTACAGAGGACTTCTTTACAGGGTTAAAGGCAGGATAGGTGCAGCGAGTGGGAACAGGGGACTGACATGTGGTAATAGCAGGGTATACTGGGCTGTCACTGGGGATACTGTGGGAACTGGAGGAAGAGAGCTTTGAGCAGAGGAGTGATTAGAAGCAGGACTGGGTTTGTTGCAAGCTGACTGAGGCTGGATGTAACAAATCTGACCATGTCTGTAGTACTGGTTGAACAAAGCTCAGCTTACACAAAGCCTGTCTGACCAAAGCCTGCACTGCGTTTATACAATCCATTAGCACCTGTTGTGAACATGCTGAATAATGCTCCAAGAAGCAATCCACATCATCCTCCAATAACCATACCAGTGACTCTACTTGGTCTGTACTAAATGGCGGCAAAAAGTCATCCCTGATTTCAGGGGTACCAGATGAAGCCAACTCTGCACAAACCTGATTCAATGGTTGCACCTCAGAGAACTCCGTGCCCTAATCTACTAGGAAATTAGCGATCCGTATGCTTTCTAGCAGGTGATCCCTGGCATACTCCTTCAGAGTCTGATAGGCATAATCTCTATCATCTAGGACTAGCAGCGACAAATACACAACATCCTCAGGGTGCATCCTTCACAACAATAAGCCAAGATGGCTTCCCTGTGCAGCCACTTCTGGTCAGGACTGGCCTTGGTGTAATGTCAGGACTCCAGGTATGACCAGAGATGTGTGAAACACAGGCTTCAGGTATAGTATAAACAATACAATTTATTAAAGACTAAACAATACATAAACGCAGTGCAAGACTAAACAAACACAGTGCAAACAAACCAAACTCCAACAGATAACAATAAGAACAATACTAAACGTAGTCGGGCAGGCCGGGTCAGTAGCAAACGGGCAGGCAAGGTACAAGGAGCAGGCGGAAGAGTAGCCAGGAATAGCCGAGGCGGTACAGGCAGAGTTCGTGCAAAGTCAGGATTCAAGCAGGCAGGATCAGGATACAGGGGCCAAGGGAAACTATACCCCAAGGCCCTGACTGCAGGCCTGGCCATTCCTTAAATACACCTCCTGCAATCAGCCTCAGGTGATGGCTTGATTGCAGGAGTGAGCTTCTGGCTGCTGAGAGCACCCACTGGCCAGCCCTGGTACTGCAGCCCACACGGCAGGTGAGTCCCACCACCAGTAGTGAATCCATTCTTGACACCGAGGTTAGGAACGGGTGTATCTTGGAGATGTTGCGGAGGTGAAGTCTACAAGATTTGGACAGTGATTGGATTTGGGGCTGAAAGGACAAATGGGAGTCTAGGATTACACCTAGTACCCTGGCATGAGGGAAGGGAATGATTATTGTGTTATTGATCTTGATGGAGAAGTCAAGGTAGATCACTGGTAATTGCAGTTGCCAGTTATCGGCTGCACTTTCCTCACACTGTCACAGTGTGAGGAAAGTACTACAGATAACCGGCAATTGGCAGAGGACGGATCGCCACTGATCATCAGGGCACTGATGATCATTGCCCTGATGATCAGTGACCAGCAGGGCTGCCAGTCTGCGCTGCCTATCAGTGCCCATCATTGGTGCAGGTCATTGCAGCAGCATCAACAAATCAGTGAAGGAGAAAAGTTACCTGTTTGAAAAATTTGAGAAGAGAAACATAGTTTCTTTTCACATTTTGAGCTCTTTTTTTTATAGCACTAAAAAAAAAAAACACCCAGCAGCGATTAAATACCACCAAAAGCAACCATTATTTGTGAGAAAAAAATTATAAAAATTTCATATGAGTACAGTGTTGCATGACCGCAATTGTCATTCAAAGTGCGACAGCACTGAAAGCTGAAAATTGAAGGGAGTTTAAGTGCCCAGTAGGCAAGTGGTTAAAAAAGCTGTGCTGACACTGCTGGCAGTGATATCTAGTGGGCCCCCTCTACTGACTTGTTTCATTATGTGATCTGGGACTTAAGCATAGTAAAACTTGAGGTCAACATCAAGAAATGTAGTTACTCACCCAATTGTCAAGTTCCAAGTGACGGCGACCATTTTCCCATTGCTCCAAATGTAGAGGCCAAATCAAATACATACCAAGACTGAGTATTCTTGGAGCCATTTTCCTGAAGCCCAAAAACCCAGCCAGATCCAAAATAAAAGCACACAAAAATGTCAGTTTTCTAAGTCCCGAAAAAGGAATCCCCAGGGGCAAATCATTTTACAGTGCCCCTTCCCCCCCCCCCCCCCCAAAACAAAGGAACCTAAATAATGCTTTTGGCCTCTCATGTAAACATGGGGCCAATAATTAGACTGCTTGAGTTTTGTACATCACATGACTAGCAGGAAGATCTATTCCTTTGCCAGACCTATCCACCGAGATTCTCTGGATTTAAGTCGCCTAAAGCCCAAAAGGCATCATAAAGACTAATCTATTGGTCATTGACAAATACACTATATTGCCAACACTGTTGGGATGCCTTCCTTTCCGCACACATGAACTTGAATGGCATCCCAGTCTTATTCTGTATGGTTCAATACTGAGTTGGGTCACCCTTTGTAGCTCGAACAGCTTCAGATTGTCGGGAAAGGCTGTTTAATCTTTTTGGATATTCTGAGACTGCCACATGAGTTAATAATTTTCTTTTTTCACGTTGAGTTTGCATTGAGAGTTTTTTCACTTGCGGTTTAAAAGTGATTAAAGGAGTTTTGGATGCATTGCTCTTGATCTCTTCAGATCAACAGTTATATCAACAGTTCTTTTGGATGCATTTACATGCATTTGGCTTTGGAAATATTTTGGGGAACATATTTGATTTTACCATTTTTTCCCCTTTGAATCCTTTTTGGAATGTTGCTTTAACAACAAATGTTATATCTTTTGCTTTAATGTTTGAAGCCCGTGGTCAAAAAGGCTGCAGTAGTTTATGGGCATAATGTAGCCATCCTACCGTAACACATCTGCCTCTTTAAATAGGTGTATAACCACCTCCACCCCAAAATTCCTCAAAAAGTCATACTTTCTCCCCAGAAAGTGCAATAATTAAATATTATAACCTTTTTGTGATAGAATTACATAAACATAACAATATTCAAATTACATAATAATATCATAAATACTCAAAAGAAAAACAAAAAAAGTCCAATAAAAAAATGTGTCTCAATAAAAAAGTGTCTCAATCAAAAACAATAATGTCCAAAAAAAAGTCCCAAATTTTCAAACTTTATCATCCAGTAGGAAGAAATCCCATTTCATCCCGTGGTATTTTAAGGTTAATATTATTTAATTTTTGAGTATTCATTAAAAAGATTTTAAATATGGGGATGAGTATAGGGAATATATATATTTTTAGTATATGGTGTAATGTTTTATTTTTATTTTTAATATTTTCGGCTAATATTAAGGCAAGGATGTATAGAGTTATATTTGTATACTGTAATTTATTATATGTATTAGTAATTTGTAGTCCTCTGTTACTCTTTGGGTATTGCGATTTGATCAGACCGATATATGTTAGGTTCTGTGTACCCATTAGAGTGATAGAGGAATCGTTATTGCCTGGTTTCCCTTTTGCAAAATGGCGGCGGTGGCCTCATACCATTAAGAGACATTGACTTATAAGGAGAGAGATGTGGGACGTCCGTATCCCTTCAGACGAAGTCCGGAAGTGACGAAACGCGTTAGGGTTTATTCCCTTTGTGTGACGTCGAGACGCACGCACGCAGACCGGAAGTGTCGCCGCGGCCATTTTGTGGGTTGTTTACACATGGCTTACTGCATTTGTTTGGCAGAACTCGCATAGGAACCATGTTAGGAGCTGGATATGTGGAATTTTAATGTAAGTGGCTATTAAAATCTTTTTACCTATACCTTGAACATGAGCCTTGAGACCCTTCTTGTCTTTTGAGGACCTTGGAAAAATTTCTTTGGAGAGGAAATAGAAGATCTCTGATTGGATGCTGATTATATTGATACAGAGGGTAATAGTATGTAATACTATTGGTGTTGGTGGATACACAGTGTTGCAGTGTTCACGGAGTGGTCACAGTTAATCCATATATGCACGAGATATATATATATATATATATAGTTTTTGCACAATTTTTGTGTTTTTTTGCACTGAGTGAATATATATATTGTTTTACAAAGGTAATGCACTAGATTATTCATTTTTTATCTTTTGAGGTACCACGGGATGAAATGGATTTCTTCCTACTGGATGATAAAGTTTGAAAATTTGGGACTTTTTTTTGGACATTATTGTTTTTGATTGAGACACTTTTTTATTGAGACACATTTTTTTATTGGACTTTTTTTTGTTTTTCTTTTGAGTATTTATGATATTATTATGTAATTTGAATATTGTTATGTTTATGTAATTCTATCACAAAAAGGTTATAATATTTAACATCTGCCTCTTTGTTTGGTAGGAAAGGTGGCCACTAATTCTTGTGGCCCCTGCTCCTGAGCCTTACCATGCCTCTTTCTACTCCCATACAGTCTCCTGGGCTGTGGCTGCCAGTGTCCTATTTCTCTGGATTAACTGGTGTGAAAAACATACCAATGAGCAATCCCTCAAACCTTGGTCAAAAATGTCAGATCATATATACAGCCTAACTAGTATCTGTTGCTAATCATCATCTTGAAATATATTTGCAGATCATCTTTTGGCCCTTGATGCCCCAGCTGTTGGAGTGGGAGAAGAATCTGCATCTGATGTTGGGGTATGGGAACTGCTGTAATGGGGTGGGGATGTACAAATGCATGTTGCATATGTATTTTGGAAATGTCATGCATTTTTTTTTTGTTTTGTGGTGCAGAGAAGTTCAGGCACTCCAAACTTACATCAAAGGCTGTCACCTACACCTGAGTTGCCTGACAGTCTGGTAAGAGATGCTAAAGGTGTTATCCCTAATGAGTCACCCATTTAGAGTTTAACTCAGTTCCTGGCTGGCCAGGATTTGGCAATGTGATGTGTAACTTACTTTTTTCAGATCATTGCTTAGTCAGGAGCTGGAGGGAGTGATGTGCATGTGACAAATCAGCATTTTAGCATTTCACTTTGTCTAAATCCAAATCAGATCACATTTCAGAGCAGGAAGGTAACAGTCTGGGTAAAGATGCAAAATCATTCATTTCGGTCAAATGCTCATCCAGTGTAATGATGTCAGGGAAAGGCATTTGCCAATAACTGGTCCTAGGGGCAGGACAAAAACAAGAGCTAGTGTTTTAGTGTCAGATGAGCCCCCTGTCCTACTGTATGCTTGTGCTGTGTGTTAACCAATTCAATACCTGGCACTTTTACACCTTCCTGCCCAGGCCATTTTTTCAGGTTTCAGCGCTCTCACACTTTGAATGACAATTGCGCGGTCATACAACATTGTTCCCAAACTAAAATTTTATCATTTTCTTCACACAACTAGAACTTTCTTTTGGAGGTATTTAATCATCGCTGGGGTTTTTATTTGTTGCTAAATTAACAAAAAAAGACCAAAAATTTAGAAAAAAAACACACGTTTTTCTTTGTTTCTGTTATAAAAGTTTGCAAATAAATAATTGTTCTTCATAAATTTAGGCCGAGATGTATTCTGCTACATTTCTTTGGTGAAAATAACCCAAATTAGGATGTATTTTTTAGTTTGTAGGAAAGTTATAGAGTTCACAAACTATGGTATAGATCTGAATATTGATCAAACCTGAAATACTGACAGCCAATCTAATTTCTTGAGGTCCAAGAATGTCAGAACACTACAGATATCCCCCAAATGACCCCTTTTTCGGAAAATGAACAAATTTTTCGGAAAATGAAAAAATTAAACAAATTAGTTTCACTATTTTTTTTTTTACATATTGTCATGGAAATTTTGTATTGTTGGTCAAACTTTAAATGTGCCATATATTCGTGTTATTCATATGTCTCTCGTGTGGCTTAATTAAAGCTCTGAAGGCTGCAATTGGGCCATGCGCATGTACAATGTATGTATTACAGTACTCAGCTTGGTAATGGATGAGATGGCAGATCTGCGCTTATAGACCGGCGTGTATACCACCACGGCATTCGATGCGAATGTCGCTGGCAGTAGACCGTGGGCCTGTATCCACATATCAGCAGCATAGTACCACATGGGCTTCATAACGCAAGGCGCCAAGCGGTGTGAGAACTCCACGTGTAGGCTTATGCATATCTTACAACCCATTACCAACTTGAAACTGTATCTTGGATAGATGTGTTTTAATAAAGATCGTATCGGGCCCATCCAGGTACAGACTGATATTTTTAGGGAATGCTTGTACAAAGAATTTACATACCAATAGAAGCTAGTAGGACAGGAAATATGACCTCAGATGGCTCATGGGGGGGAAGGGGAGGAAGTCTGCTGACCTCAGAAGACTCATGGGGGAGGACCAGTGATAGATAATAGGAAAGGCTATGCTCCAATTGGAATGTACATCCTGTGTATAGGCACTCCCCATTGCATTGTTCGGTGGGAGGGGATTGACTTTATTCATGTGGGGGGCATGTGTGTGTATTTTTAATAAAACAGAGAGCTGAGTCTGAAACCAGCCCTTATGTGAATTGCAACACCATCCTGAGAGTGTCGTTTGATCATTCTAGGGTAACGGAGCTCCACCCCCACATCTCAACAGAAGCTAAAAGTAGTTGGATGGGCAGGAATTGGGTAGTTTAGCTGCAGTCGTGGTAAGCGAGATTCGCACAGCTTTATGGGGGATTTCTGCGCATCCAACTGCGAGTACTCACGGTAAGGAGAAATTCGTTAAAGCGAATTTCCAAGACAATATTGTCACCAGTGCAGTACAGCGTCATCATATAACTGGCATGGCGGTGATCAGGGACACTGACTGGTGACAGTATGAAAAAAAAAAAATATATATTTTTTTATTATTTTTTATTAATTTCTTTTTCTTTTTTTTAAGATTTTTTTTTCATACTTCAGTATGACCAAAGTAGTACAATGTTACCATAGTAACATTGTACTACTTTGGGGAAGTGATCAGTACTTTTTTTTTTTTTTTTTTACACAATTTGCTTATAGCAAAGAATTACTTTGCTATAAGCAAGCATTTACCTGAATGACATAGATTCATTCAGGGTTTTTTTTTTTTGTGCTTAGCTGTGATTTGGCCACAGCTAATCACATGACATGTGCATGTGATTAGCTGTGACCATTCACAGCTAGACACTAGTATACAATGGATGGCATGAATGAAGCCATCCATTGTATACAACTTTCATGTGACCTGCTGTGATTGGTCACAGTAGGTCACATGGTACCAGCAACGGGGGCCAGTACTCAGATCTGTCATCGGCCGTGTCCGAGGTACACGGATGGTGACAGATCACGCCGCTGCGTGGCTCTGCAGGAGCGCAACCTGCGCATGTGCGGGAGGACGCCATATGGCGTCCACCCGGAATGCTGATGACATTTGCCGGCCGCCATTCGGCCATAGGGCGGGCAGCAAATGGTTAAACACGTTAATTTTTTTGTTTGTTTCTCCTTGCAGTCAACATTGGATGCAGCTGGATAGACACCCCTTCCACCTGGACCCAGCCCCCTTCTCAAGCTTTGGGAAAGGCTGGGGTTCAACATGGAGAGACTATGGGAGCAAAGGAGGCTTTCTAATGCACCAAGTAATGTGGAAAGGTTACTGGGGCTCCAACATGAAACCCTGCTTGAACTTGTCACCACGGTCAGGGATCAGAATGTAGCGCTGCAGGGTAAGACTACAGTGCTGCAGGAGCAAACTGCAGCGCTGCAGGCCCTTAGTCATGATATCCGGGCCTTATGTCAAGCAGTGGCTGAACAAAATACACCTTCGGACAGAGGCTCCGAACTCCTGTGCAGCAGTTTGGGGCCAATACCAAGGGTGCCACAGAGTTCCCCTGCTGAAAGTGCCGGGGAATCAGCAGAGGAACAAGCTTGGGAATTGCAGATTCTGGAAATACCCACTCTGGAGCAGCCCCCTCAACAAACCCCACCCCATCACCAGTATGCCTCCTTCCCCGTGGATCCCACTTCTGCACCTTCCTCACACTCCACTTTGCCCCTTGACCACACCCCCACTTTCACATCCCCTCCCCTTGTTTCTATACACCCCTTCTCTCAATCTTGCTTCCACCCTTACCTTCCATGTCCTGCCCACTTTCCTCAGCCCTCAAATGCATCTCCCCACATCCTCCGTCTTAGGTTCCCGCCTTTCCTTTACCCCAAGTTCAACCCCTTCTCCAGCACTCCCTCCCAATCACTCTTTCCCAGCCCCTCCCCACATCCTCCCTGCCTTCCGTCCCCACCTTTCCTTCACCCTTCCACCAGCCCTCTATCCTCCACACTCTTTCCCAGCCCCTCCACACACAGTACTTCTCCAACCCTCACCCCCTTCCCCCCTCCACACAGCAGCAGCAGCCTCCTCCTCCTCCTCCCCATCTTCCCCCCTTTAATTTTGGATTTTGTATTATGTTTGTTTGTTTTTTTTGTAATAAACATGATTTTGAAAGTGGCTGAACGTGTCTTGTGAATTGTCAAATGTGTTTGGGATAATAGTGGTGGCTTGGTCATGTAGGGAATCCAACACAGGTGCTTTTTTGAGTGTTGCTACCAATAATTCCAAATAGCGAACACTAAAAAAGCAGCACTTCATAAATAAAATTTAAAGTTGACCCTTCCAAAGGTTAGACTCTTTGGCCTTTCTGCTGTTTTCACCTGGTGGTCTGTCTATTAAATAGTTTTAGCTGTTCCACATCAAACAAGTTCTCTTGCAGATGTAGCAATTGGCCATTATCTACTAACAATTTGACTGTCCCAAAGGAGCTTAGAATTATCAGTGGACTCTTTGGGCAAGGGTAACTTTCCCAATTGTGGGGGAAAAGACAATATTACAGCTTCTTTTCCAAGTGTTGGCTAGCTTTTGTCTTTTTGGGGTGCCGATTTTGAACAAGGCATCGAACACTCACCTCCCCAGAGTCAGAGAATGACACTGCTGTCCAAATATGTTCCCGGTGCTACTTCATTGACACACTATAAAAGAAGTGATTAAATAGCCAGGGCACCAGGTGCGAAACCAGACCACAACTTACAAACAGTAAGTCTGCCAAGGAAGGCTAGAGACACATATAAGTTGGGAGAATAAGAAAATGGACTTCTGTTGTTTGGACTATCATTATGCTTGACTAACTTGACCCAGACTAAGTTTGCTTAACACACTGTGTAACATCTTGCCCCGAGATTGGTTGGGGAGCATAGGACCTTTAGCTGCATGATTCTAGACATGTGTGCCTATGGAATTTATGTGCCCAGTGGACACTTTTTCCTCACTTAATTACCTCCCAAACTCCTGTTGCCAAAACACTGACCTGTGAATGAGCAACAAGTTGGATACAAGTGGTATGTGTTGAGCAGATAGTCAGTTTGCCCATTAGGGCCCCTTCTTTTTTGCGGGACATTGCATGGTCTCTTGCATAACTGATAGTCCTTCCAAAAGCAGCTTTCAAGTCATATGGTTTCTGTGTACTGACAGTCCCAACTAGAGATGAGGTGATGGGAAACATCTTGACAGAGTTGGGCCACAGGATCCACCCATATCTACTGGGTTGCACCCCCCCTTTTGGCAGTCTGCAAAACTACACTCCACCAAGCTACATAGAAGTCCCTGGATGCAATGAAGAGCTACTCCAGACATGAACAATGTAAAGTGGATGAAGTGTTCTGTGTAAACTATTACAGCATTTCACAAGAGGATGCAAACCAAGATTGGGAGTAGCTGCAGACAACAAGCAGAAAACTTCAATCTTTATGTATCCTAGATTAAGATTGAAGTAGCTGGTGTACCTCTTGTAAACATGCAATCCTATCTGCTACAGTCCTAAAGCTGGACTTGCCAGAAAAGACTTAGTTTGGACATTCAAGGTAAGCAAGATTGGACACTGCAGCTAGCAGAGTACTGCAATGCTTTAGGGACATGCAGATCAGCTACAACTGCAATGAAGAAGACTGCCTACCTGCAAAGGCTAAAGAAGGCCACAACCCAGTGCACTGTCAAAGATAGATAACATTTATTTTTAAAACAATAAACAAATATAAACCCCCCCTTATAATTGTTCTCTAAAATATGCAACAATGCCAGGCTGGTCCTCCGCTTGCTCCGCCCGGCACACCCAGCCCATGAGACCACAAATGGCTGGATAGTTGAACACTGTAGAAAAAGACAAACAAAATTTATTAGCTGCAATAAAAAAAGGAGACACGCTTCCCAAACAAGCAACAACAGCATGCAATACTTGTCTAACTTTGTCCATTATCCTGAAAGCACTCTATGCTGTTGTCACCTCATAATTGGAACACAGAACTTCCATTTCTTGCCTGGGATGATTTCATGGCCCAGGAAGTGAGCTTGGAATCCTTAGGCCTAGATTAAAGTGTTTGCTCACTGACTACAAATACATCTGTGGGCAGCGGTGAAAAGGGCAATCTCATCACTAAGGACAACAGATGACTTTGGCACACCTATCTTGTCAGGAATGGACTCAGCACTGGTGGTGGGACTCACCTGCTGTGTGGGCTGCAGTACCAGGGCTGACCAGCGGGTGCTCTCAGCAGCCAGAAGCTCACTCCTGCAATCAGCCAACACCTGGGGCTGATTGCAGGAGGTGTATTTAAGGAATGGCCAGACCTGAAGTCAGTGCCTTGGTGTATGTTTCCCATGAGCCCCTGTACCTTGTATCCTGTGTTCCTGTTCCTCTGCCTATCTGATTTGTTGCCGACTCTGCATTGTTCCTGACCCTGCTGACCGTCTCCTGTTTAACCCCTGGCTTGCCTGACCATCCTTCTGCCTGATCCTCTGTACCGTGCTGCCCTTGAGTTACTGAACCCGGCTTGTGACCCTGACCATTCTCTGCCTGATCCTCTGTACCGCACTGCCCGTGAGTTACTGAACCCGGCTTGTGACCCTGACTATTCTCTGCCTGCTCCTTTGGTACCTCGCTGCCCACACGTTGCTGACCTGGCCTGCCTGACTACGCCTTACGCTACCCAGACGATCCATCTATCCTGCACGGATCCAGCCATCCCTGCTCACACCTTCTACCTCTTCACATCAGGCTTCCTACCTGCATATACCTCTGGCGGATCCCTCTACCACGAGCAGGTGTACTCAGGGGCCGCGACCTGGTTCCTGTCTGCTCCCAGTCCATCCCCACCATCAGGGGCCCTGGTGAATAAGCAGACTGGGACTTAGACTCCGCGCCCTGGGGAATCCTGTCCTGAGGACTGCTAGGGGTACCACCAGACGGTCGTTAACAGAACCATATGGCCGGCCTGACCCTTCCACCTCTCCAGCCCTGACTGCGCCTGTGTTCCTGCACATACTAAGATTAGTGGAAGGTTGGTTTATTTACTGTGCTTTGTATATTTGGGTAGCTAATAATAAATTATATTATTATATCATTCCTGAAGCCTGTTACTTCCCTGTGTCAGTCCACACATTTCTGGTCATACCCGGATCCTTGACATTACACCAAGGCCATTCCTGACCAGAAGTGGCTGCACAGGGAAGCCATCTTGGCTTATTGTTGTGAAGGATGCATCTGGAGGAGGTTATATACTTGTGTCTGCTAGTCTTTGATGACAAAGAATATGCCTATGAGACTCTGCAGGAGTATACCAGGGATCAGCTGCTAGAATGCATAGGGGTCGCGCATTCCCTGGTAGATCAGGGCACAGAGTTCTCTGAGGTACAACCATTAATTCAGGCTTGTGTGGAGTTGGCTTCAGCTAGTACCCCTGAAAGCAGGGATGACTTTTTTCCCCCATTCAGTGCAGATCAAGTGGAATCGCTGGTATGGTTGTTGGTGGAGGATCCAGATTGCTTCCATGAGCATTATGCAGCTTGTCCATCACATGTGCTAGTGGAGTGTATAGACGCAGTGCAGTCTTTGGTCAGACAGGCTATGTGTAAGCGGAGTTGTGTTCAACCAATACTACAGTCCTGGGCAGACTTGTTACACCCAGCCTCAGTCAGCTTGCAACAAACCAGTCCTGTTTCTCATCATTCCTCTGCTCAAAGCTCTCTTCCTGCACTCCCGACAGCACCCCCAATGACAGCCCAGTATACCCTGCTAGCTACCACATGTCAGTCCCCTGCTCCCACTCGCTGCACCTATCCTGCCTTTTACCCTGTAAAGAAGCCCTCTGTAGCAACTGCTCCCTCCTTTGTTCCATCCTCCGGCTCTTCCCTGTCTTCAGCTGCTCCATCCATTTACAGACCTGCATTTACTTACAGTGCTCCAGTAACTAAACCCAAGAAGAAGCGAAAATTCTTTCCAACCAGTACCATCCTACCAGTATCCAAACCAGTCAGCCTGCTGTCTGAAGACCCGCCTTCCGTTGTCCAGCCTGATGCCCTGATGCCCGATGACCCGATCCGGCCTGATGACCCGATCCGGCCTGATGACCCGGTGTTCGTGATCCAGCCTGATGGCCCGATCCAGCCTGATGACCCGATCCAGCCTGATGACCTGGTGTTCGTGATCCAGCCTGATGACCCGATCCAGCCTGATGACCCGGTGTTCATGATCCAGACTGATGACCCCACCCAGCCAGATGACTCGGTGCACGCTGTCGTGCCAGATGACTCGGTGCACGCTGTCGTGCCAGATGACTCGGTGCACGCTGTCGTGCCAGATGACTCGGTGCACGCTGTCGTGCCAGATGACTCGGTGCACGCTGTCGTGCCAGATGACTCGGTGCCCGCTGTCGAGCTTGGTGACCCGGTGCCTGTGGTTCTGCTAGATGGCTCGGTGCCCGCTGACGTGCCCAATGACTCGGTGCCCGCTGTCGAGCTTGGTGACTTGGTGCCCGCTGTCGTGCCAGATGACTCGGTGCCCACTGTCGAGCTTGGTGACCCGGTGCCCGCGGTTCTGCTAGATGGCTCAGTGCCTGCTGATGTGCTCAATGACTCGGTGCCCGCTGACTTGCCCGGTGACTCGATGCCCGCTGTCGTGCCAGATGACTCGGTGCCCGCTGACGTGCCCGATGACTCGGTGCCCGCTGATGTGCCCGATGACTCGGTGCCTGCTGTCGTGCCAGATGACTTGGTGCCCGCTGTCGTGCCAGATGACTCGGTGCCCGCTGTCGAGCTTGGTGACCCAATGCCCGCGGTTCTGCTAGATGGCTCGGTGCCCGCTGACGTGCCCGATGACTCGGTGCCTGCTGACTTGCCCGATTACTTGGTGCCCGCTGTCGAGCTTGGTGACTCGGTGCCCGCTGACGTGCTCGATGACTAGGTGCCCGCTGTCTTGCCCGGTGACTCATGCCCGCTGTTGTGCCCGGTGACTCGGTGCCCACTGTCGTGCCAGATGACTCGGTGCCCGCTGTCGTGCCAGATGACTCGGTGCCCGCTGTCGTGCCAGATGACTCGGTGCCCGCTGTCGAGCTAGATGACCCGGTGCCCACGGTTCTGCTAGATGGCTCGGTGCCCGCTGACGTGCCCGATGACTCGGTGCCCGCTGACTTGCCCGATGACTTGGTGCCCGCTGTTGAGCTTGGTGACTCGGTGCCCGCTGACGTGCTCGATGACTAGGTGCCCGCTGTCTTGCCCGGTGACTCATGCCCGCTGTTGTGCCCGGTGACTCGGTGCCCACTGTCATGCCAGATGACTCGGTGCCCGCTGTCGTGCCAGATGACTCGGTGCCCGCTGTCGTGCTAGATGACTCGGTGCCTGCTGTCGAGCTTGGTGACCCGGTGCCCACGGTTCTGCTAGATGGCTCGGTGCCCGCTGACGTGCCCGATGACTCCGTGCCCGCTGACTTGCCTGGTGACTCGGTGCACGCTGTCGTGCCAGATGACTTGGTGCCCGCTGTCGTGCCAGATGACTCGGTGCCCGCTGTCGAGCTTGGTGACCCGGTGCCCGCGGTTCTGCTAGATGGCTCGGAGCCTGACGTGCCCGGTGACTCAGTGCCCGCTGACTTGCCCGGTGACTCGGTGCCCGCTGACTTGCCCAATGACTCGGTGCCCGCTGTCGTGCCAGATGACTCGGTGCCCGCCTGTCGTGCCAGATGACTCGGTGCCCGCTGTCGTGCCTCTGCCAGCTGCCCAGCCTGATGTGCCTCTGCCCGCTGCCCAGCCTGACGTGCCTCTGCCCGCTGCCCAGCCTGACGTGCCTCTGCCGCTGCCCAGCCTGACGTGCCTCTGCCCGCTGCACAGCCCGACGTGCCTCTGCCCGCTGCACAGCCCGACGTGCCAGCCCCTGATGTCCAGCTAAACTGGCCAATAACTGATTCCCAGCCTGCTCCTGGAGATCCTGTGTCCAGCGACCTGCCTTCCTGGGTTCCCCTACATAAAGAGAAGTCTGCCAGCAGGAAACACAGCCAGCCGGTTGACTCCGGCAGTAAGATATCCAGCCAGCTACCTGACCCGGGCGGTGGAACATTTTGCCCACTAAGGACTGTTTGGAGCGTCCTGAGGCCGCTGCTTGAGGGGGGGGGGGTACTGGGAGGAATGGACTCAGCACTGGTGGTGGGACTCACCTGCCGTGTGGGCTGCAGTACCAGGGCTGACCAGCGGGTGCTCTCAGCAGCCAGAAGCTCACTCGAGTTACTGAACCCGGCTTGTGACCCTGACCATTCTCTGCCTGATCCTCTGTACCGCACTGCCCGTGAGTTACTGAACCCGGCTTGTGACCCTGACTATTCTCTAAAAAACATAAACGTGCAGCGCTGTTAAAACCAATAAATAAATACATATATAAACATGTAAGAAAGTGCACACAAATATATCAAGTGACACTGTGCATCTATGTATGTGCCACTAGAATATGTGGCCAATATAAACGTGAAAGAAAACACTGTGTCTAAAACATAAGTCCAGAGTGCAGGCGTGAACGAGATCTCAAATGATCTTCTGGTATCCAAAAGACACAGATTGTGGATAAGGTGAGACAATTAAAGTGTAGATTGCACACTCACCAGATACGCAACCTTTTTGCACATTTGTATGATATAATAAGGACATCAGACTTCAGACATCTCATTAAAAAGGTCTGGTCAGATCTGGTCAATGCCTCCTTCGCTATCCCACGGTTTGCACTTAGCCTTCCCAAATGGTAACCACTCTGCGGATGTACCTGGCTCCCACAGGAGCTCAGAAAGAAACAACAGAGGAGGCCAGTAGTGCAATATTGCCTTAGGATGTTTATTCCACACAATGGGTATGTATACAACAAGAAAGCAAATAAAATAGATTACTGACCGATTGCAAGCTGCCGCCGGGACCCCTTGTGGTGCCGGCGGTAAGGCGTCAAAACAGCTACAGCAAGTGCTCTTAGTCATAGGGTGTCCTGGCCATGAACTGTTGATGCCGCACTGTCCTTTAAATAGTGGGAGTGGTGCGTGTATCATTGCCACGTGCCATCTTCCCAGAGATGAGTGTCCTTACAAGCGGCGCCATTTTGGCGTAGTCCGGACTGACTGCACATGTGCGAGCGTGTGTCAGATCCCAGAAACATCGCTATACCATCATATAGGATCACCAGATAAAAGCATGTTACCATGGAGATATTACAATCCAGTGTAAGTCCCGGACCCAATTTCAAATAAATAAATAAATACCGAAAAAGGGGGGTATACCAATTAAACGGCAATTCTCTCAGGTATGGCTACATAAAAGAAAACTTAATTTATCCTTATTAAAAAGGACTTTATTGTTCTGGTCCAAGGATAAAATAATACTTTAAAATTCAAATTATATCTAAGCATATAGCTACATATAGCACAGGTGATCCTATATTGGTAATGTTACACATATTGCACCTTGCAAAAAGATTTTTCTATATGACTTATTGCAACATGATCGTACTTGATATAAAGGATATTCATAAATACATCAAATCAAAGAGATATATGTCACACTAAATATCTTATTGTGTGGCATTTCAGAAAGGCATTCGTATGATTTGATAATATTATCTATCTAATAAAACTACATATGTAACTATGCAGTACCTATAGGCATACTACATTAGTATATGTATATGCATGTATGCTATTATTTATGATCTATAGCACATTTATTATAAGATATATAAAAATAAAAATAAGATACATAATATATAAAAAAGGATAAATATGAATATCCCATATTTTATAATATCTTGTAAAAATGCATATATACTTGCATATATAAAATCTGTCAATAATTGTAAACATATAGAAGTAAACGTATAGTGATACATATAAAAACCCATTTTTTATAAATCTGAATATCCCATATCTTCTAATATCTTGTAAAAATGCATATATACATGCATATATAAAATCTGTCAATAATTGTAAACATATAGAAGTAAACGTATAATGATACATATAAAAACATGTAAAAAAATAAAAACCATAAAATATATAAAAAAATTTATAAAAAGACTTCGCCATGATTAGAAATCACCAGACAGATTCAATACCAAATTCAAAATCAAAACATGTTTTAAATTTTCTATGTTCATATATAAAGATATGGAATTGTAATAAATCTAAGTATGTGTAAAATTCATCAGCTGTTATCGATGAAACAATTCACATCTAGTTCTATATTCAACCCTTTTGGACGCATGGAATCCATCTGGAAAATCCATTTGGTTTCCATTTGGGACACTGCTCTCTTCTTATTAGTACCCCGCTAATGGGGTTGTACCATATCAATACCTATAAATATTAGGGATGACGGGTCTCTGTTGTGATGTGTGCTGTAGTGCATGGACAATGAATGATCTTTATAGCCCTTTTTCACATTGTTAACGTGTTCCTTAAGTCTATCTCTCAATCTTCTAGTCGTGCGTCCAATGTACTGTTTTTTACATGGGCACTGTAAGAGATACACCACGTGCTTGCTATAACAAGAAATGAAGTTCCTAATTAGAAAGGTTTTTCCTGCAGTAGTGGAGGTAAAGTTCTCAATTTTACGCTTCCTTTTTCCATTATAGGTGCATATAACGCACCTATTGCATGGATAAAAACCTCTCATATCACCAAACAAAGAGACCGGTTGTGGAGGGTTAACAATGTTCGCGGCAATCAGATTTCTCAAAGTCTGTGCCTTTCTATAGACTATTTCCGGTTTTTCTGGTAGAATTCTTGTTAAAACCGGGTCAGCCTTTAAAATCTTCCAGTTCTGGTGTATTATCTTAGATACTGTTTTATACTGCCTGGAAAATGTGGTTATAAAAGGACAGACTTTTGATGATTTTTGTGATACATTGTTAGTCAATAACACCTCTCTATTCATATGTGCCACATCTTGAATGATATGAGTGAGGTGCGTTTCCTCATATCCTTTTTCCAAAAATCTACTTTTTAGAATATTGGCTTGGGTTAAGTAGGTGTCTAAGGAGGTACAATTTCGTCTTATTCTAAGAAATTGTCCTTTTGGTATATTAGAAAGCCATGAGGGATGGTGGCAACTATTAATGGGAATATACCCATTTCTATCTGTTGTTTTAAAAAAAGATGAAGTTACAATCACACCATCCAGGTTCATCAATGTTAAATCTAAAAAGTTGACACTGGTCTTACTATATTCAAATGTTAACTTAATGTTCAGGGTATTGTTATTTGTGTCCGAAAAAAGTTTATTAAGGCTTGTTCATCTCCTTTCCATACAAGGAGGATGTCATCAATATATCGTTTATAAAAGCACAGTTCTGGCCAATCCCTGGCATATATGACATCCTCCTCCCATCTGGCCATAAATAGGTTGGCCAGACTCGGAGCGAACTTGGCTCCCATAGCCACACCTCTTGTCTGTAGATAAAAAATACCGTCGAACCAGAAGTAGTTTCTGGTCATGGCGAAGTCTAAAAGCATTAAAATAAAACCCTGGTGTAAAACTGATAAAGTAGACTCATC